CGCCGCGGTGAAACGCCGCCTGGCGACACCTGCGCCGTCCTCACCACAGTTCTCTTTCCAGCCACTGTGCCCGCCCCCTCCGTGAGGGTCTTCCTCTATGCAGACCCTCTGCTTGACCAGGCACGCTGTCCTTCACAGGGCCGGGTCTCTCTGACCACGAGTCCAAAGTGCAGGAGCTGAAGTCTCGCCGTCCGTGCTTCGAGGGAGCGTCCGGCTTGTGCGCCTTCCAAGACAGGCTCGTCTGTTCTCTGGGCAGCGCAGGGTGTCCTCGATATTCTCCGTCAGCACCGTCCCTCAAAGACATCAGTTCTTCTCGGGGCCTGGTCCCTGTCCATCTTTTGCGTGCTGTGGCTCAGCTGAAACGGCAGTGGCCCGGGGGCAGGGCCCCTTCGTCCCCGAAGGGCCAACTTGGCTCTCTAACCTCTTCAAAGCCCCCTGCAGCCGCTTTGCCCAGTGCAGCAGGTCATATGATTGCTGGACTCCTGCTTCGGTGGGCGTGGATGGCGGCTCCAGGTAAAGCGAAACGCTTGACCACAAGGGTCTTTCCTCTCTGTCCATCATGCTGCGGCTTGCCGCTTCAGTTGTGAGGACCTTGGTTGTGAGCACCTGCCGGAGGCTGCAGTCTTGGGTCGTCAGGGAAAGCTTCGAGTCCTTGCTTTCAGCAGACCAGGTTGTCCCGGCTGCACCTCGCCTCACGTGGCTGGTTGTTAGTAGCACGCCCTTGCTGGCCGAGCGTGCAGGAAGAGCTGTGGCTGTGTAAATGGTCCACAGACCCAAACCTACTGCCAAGGGGTCGGTCCCAGCTCCTCGTGACCCGCAAGGACAGATGGAATGGCCTCGGTGGGTTTCCAAGGTTGAACATATTTCCAGGAGCAGACAGCCTCCTCTCTCTCCTGTCAAGTGGCTGGTGGGTTTGAACCCATGGCCTCTCGGTTATCAGCTGAACCCTCAGCCCACCTACAGTGCCATACTAGAACAAAGGATTCAGAGGCTTAGGAGAGATCATTTTTGATCTGAGTGTGGCAGGGGAGTTGTTGAGTTCATGTTAAACTCTTTTCTCCTGTCCTTTGAGACCCTCTTGCGTGTTTGCTTGGGCTGCAACGTAGAAGCAGCATTCTAAAAGGAAGGAGATAAGCCAGGGTTGAGTCCAGAGGCGGGACCTGGTCTTATTAGGAGAGGGTGAGTGTCCTGGTCACCGTCACCGGTGTCAAGTCGGGTCTGTCCGTCCACGGAGCATACTGAGATCTGCTCTCGGTGAAGGTGCCGGCTTTGTCCTCAGAGACCGGGTTTCCAGAGCCTGGTCAGTGGGCCCTGAGGGGGTGTCCCCCTGACCTTGCATCTCTTCCTCTTTCTAAAACCAGAGTCGACTCCAGCTCAGGGCCCCGCCCACCTGAGTCAGCGTGGAACTGGGCTCTGTGGGGTCTCAGTGGCCTGGTTTTGGTCAGAAGTAGATCACCAGGCCTTTCTTCCTCCTTTCCCCTTAGTTGGAGGCTCGGCAGACAGCCATCCATCCTGGGTGGCCCTGCTGGTCGTTGGGGCATGGGTGGTGTTGCTTGTCCCCAGCATCACAGCCATGGTGCGGACCCATGGCGGACAGACGGACAGGCCTGCTTTCTGCCGGGAGCAGGTCTTTGGAGTCTCTGGAGGTGGAGTGAGGGTCCCAGGAGGCGCTCGTGCTCGGGGTGCTGGCCCGTGGGTGTGCGGTGTCTCGGGCAGGCTTCCCGGCGATGGCGGGAGGGTTAGGAGTGGCCAGCTGGCCAGGCAGGTTCAAGTGCTGAGCTCAGGTTTCCTGAGTGATTAATGCCAAATTAGCACACCGTCCGGTGACCTTTCGGCCGTCGCTGCTGCTCTGCTCCATGTCACTAACGTCTGTGCAAATATTAGCTGCTCGTCATCTCTCCTCACCAGCAGGCACACAGGTGACAGGCCGGCTGCTGGTCTGATGGACGGCCAGCTCCCCCTGCCCCTTGTCCCTTCTCCAGGAGTCTGGCGGCCACTGCTGGTGGCTCTGTGGGTTGGCCAGCTCTCAGAGCCGCACAGAAGCTCAGAGGCCTGGGCTCTGCAGCAGGCCCCCTTGGGAGCAGGTGGGGGAAGGTGGGGGTGGGAGGTGGGGTGGGCGGGTGAGTTTAGGAAGCTGGAGGTGCTGAGGCTGCTCCCCACCCCAGCTTCTCCTGGAGATACAGGGACCAGCGACCCCCCTCTTCACAACCAGGCCCCGCATTTCTAAAAGTGTCATTTACTGCCTTGGCCTGCATCAAAGGAGCCCTCTGGCCTCCTGGTTATGCATCGGGCTGCTAACGCAAGGTCAGCAGTTCAAAACCACCAGTTGCTCCTTGGGAGAAAAGCATGAGTTTTCTACTCTTACAAAGAGTTACAGTGTCGGCCACCCCAGGGGCAGTTTTACCCTGTCCTGTAGGAGGGACACTGTGAGTTGGCATCCATTCGGTGGCAGTGTGTTTGATTGATTGATTGGGGGGAGGGGTTTACAGGGTTTTCAACAGGAGAACGATGAGGCTTTCTACTCCTGTGAAGATGTGCAGTCTTAGAAATTCACTGGGCAGGTCTGCTTTGCTCTGTAGGGCTCGGAATGGGCTACAGGGCAGTGAGTGTGGGCTTGGGTTTGCGCGAAACTTCTTTTTTTTAAGTATTATTAACATGATCTTTTACTATGAAAAGAAGCAGCAGCAGCCGCTCACCTCGTGTAGGCGGCTGCAGCGAGAAGGGAGAACAAGGGTGGGGTGCAGGGTAGATTGCTGATGCGCTTCCCACGAGTCCGCCCTAGCGGGTGGCTGCCCGTGTGCACAGCAGAACTGCTCTGAAGGGTTTGCAACGCTGGGAACTTTGGGCGGCAGGTCCCCAAGGCTTACCTCCAAGGTGCCTCTGGGTGGTTACATGAGTGGCCCTTGGCGCCCTCTGGGGCACCTTGCTCCCTCTTATTCAGCCTCATCAGCTAGAACCTTCCCTGGGCACCCTCTCTACTGGCTGCTCTTCAAAAGGATGCAGAGTCTGTCCTCCCCAGCAGGAGGCGCCAGAGGCAGCATTCTGCATTTGCATATTATTGCATACATTTGCATTCCCTTGCCTCCACCCCCACCCCCACCTTCACTGGAATCCCATGGAAAGAGTGGATTGGTCTCCGCTTTCCCTAAACAAACAGCACAGAACTGTCCGGCAAGGAGTCCCGGCAGTGAGCGAGTGAGTCACCACAGGGCATTCACTTTGGACGTTGAGCATATTTATAGAAACGTGGTGATGAGCCACGTAAATGCAAGTACATTTACATATATGCATGAATACAAGCTCACTGCCTTCAAGGCCATGCCGACTCACAGTGACCCTCTAGGACAGGCCAGACTGCCCCCGTGGGTTCCTGAGACTGTCACTCTTTATGGGAGGAGGAAGCCTCATCTCTCTCCAGAAGAGCAGCTGGTGGTTTTGAACTGCTGACCTAGTGGTTGGCAGCCCCTGTGCCACCAGAGCTTATGTATATTTAGTCTTCTTTGTCAGCAGAATTCATGGATCACTTGTAGCCAGCTGCTCCCGCAACAGTAGCCGGAAATGGGGTGTTTACTTGGCAGGGAGGCAGAGGGGCTGAGTGTACCCCAGAGCAGAGCCGCACATGTGGTTAGTCCAGGGAGTGGCGTTGGGGGACTCATGAAGACACCAGCTGCCTTCTGGTGGCACGTGTTCCCGATGGAGCGCGTTAAGAGTCTATGGGGCTGAGTGAACTGGGAAATAGTGGGTCCCCCAGACAACTCAACCGGGCAAGTCTTAAATTAGTAACAGACTGATACAGGAGTCGGCCAACAGTGGAGAGCCATGTCGCGCGGCAGGGCACCTAGAGCGGTGGTGTGCGTGAGGGTCTCCATGGCAGGGCTTTCCAGGGGCGGTGCCTGCTGGGATTGGAGTGGCGGAGGCAGGCAGGCTGGGACCAGGGTCACACCTGAGGCACAGGGCAGGGGCAGGACCTCTGGGTCTGTTGGGTCCTTCCTGGAGTCCCACGGTCCTCTTTGTTTTCTCCGCCACAGGAGGGACGGGCACCCCGGACCCCACAGACCCCGCCATTGTGATCCCTCCCAGAAACAGGAGTGTGGTGGCTGGAACCAGCGAGGTGACCTTGGAGTGCATCGCCAACGCCAGGTACGGACAGGTCCATACTCATCACTGCCGTGGCTGACCTCCATCCCATCCCTCTGCACTCACAGGGGACCCCCAAACTCTCAATGACACAAGACTCTGCCCAGTCCACCCCCTGGTCAGGATGAGTTGCCAGTGGACCTCCGGACCACCACCCTCCGTAGTGTTGTCAGTGGCTGGTTTTAGGCCTTGGGTGGCCTGGCCTTTCTTCCTGGTCTTTTTAAGTCTGGAAACACCACTGAAACTGCTGTGTAGCATCCCAGCCACACGCCAACCTCCAGGGACAGACAGGTGGGGGCTGCGCACAAAGTGTGTTGGCCGGGAATCCAACCAGGGGTCCTGGGGTGTGGAAGGCAAGAATGCTCCCACAGAGCCACCGCTGCCGGCCAGACCCCAGGTCTGGCACCAAGGGACTGCTGATGAGGGACAGGTGTGACGAGAGGGCCTCCCACGGACAGACGGGCCGTGCACCCTACCCAGGCTGCTCTTGTCACAGGGGCGGTCCTCTGTGTCCAGCGGGGGCCAGAGCGTGGCATACAGGGGAGGTGCTGACATTGGCCCCAGCCCAGCACTGTGACAATGGATCAGTTGACCATCCACTGCTGGGCGGAGACGGGCAGGTGAGGGGCACTGTTCCCCACAGCCCCGCCCACGTGTTTATTCTAAATATTCTTTCCCAGGGTGGTCCGAGTCATTAGCTCTGGAGGTCCATCTGCACGCCAATGAGCCGTGCTTGCTCACCGCGCGGACGTGCCCTCAGAGCCAGGCCAGAGCCCGATTGGTGTTTAAACGCCTTCGTTCAGCCCTCCGGAGCTCGCTCACTGTGTGCCATCCGTTAGGCTACCACAGTGCCCATGACGTCCTCTGTGTCCCCGTCCCACCCTCCAGGTCGGTGGACGAGCTGAGGGTGTCTTGGAGGAGAAATGGAGCGAGGGTCAGCAGCGGGGTGCACACCTTCGGGAGGCGTCTCACCATCAGCAACCCCACGTCGGCCGACAGCGGGATGTACGTCTGCGAGGCCGCACTGAGGGGCAGCGCCTCCCAGCCGGCCCGAGCCACTGCCTTCCTCTCCCTCATAGGTAAGGACCAAGCCATACGCGAGCAGGTGGGTGGGCAGGCAGGCGGAGGCCCCTGGGTCCCCTCAGCCTCATGGCCACCCTGTGTGTCGATCTCGCCATCGTCCACATGCCGTGGCCGTGTCCACAGCGAGCCGGTTGGGCCATGCTGGGACCCACAAAGTTTCCTTGCTGGGTAAGCCGGGCTGAAATCTGTCTGCCATGGGCAGCCTTACTGATGTGTGAAATCCTGGGGGTGTATTTCCCTGGACCCCAGCCACACACAAGCCCCTACAGGGGAGACAGACTAACAGACAGACAGGAGTAGGACAAGGTGGTAGCCCTTACATTTCTCTGACTTTGTTTCTAACTCAGCCATTGGAGGTGAAAGGTGAGTCTGCACCTCCAGTCCACCTGGTCTTCTTTTCCAGCGATGCAGACCCATCAGCACAGGTGGAACTTCCCCCCATGGGTTTCTGAAACTGTAAACCCTTATGGGAGCAGACAACCTCATCTCTCTCCCAAGGAGCGGCTGGTGGTTTGGAACTGCTGGCCTTGCAGTTCGCAGTTCAGTGCTGAGCCCGCTGAGCCACCAGGTCCTGCTTCTGAGTCGGAATTGCCTGGATGGCTGTGCATTGTGTGGGGAGAGTCACGGGGGCCCATGTTCCTGTGCTCACCCATAAGAAGGTCCTTCCGGCTGAAAAGTCCCGGAAATGTGGAGCTACGCTTTCAGAGGACTCTTATTTCGCCGTCAGGATCGGTGTCCAGAGATCATCGTATGCAAAGGGGGCTCATAAAAGGACCCACAATGACCGCCTTGGGAGTCCCGTGGCGTGGTTCTGCTTTGTCCTACGTTTCCCTAATGGCTGGAATTCCCTAAGAGATGCACCAGGGAGCTTGACGAGGTGGCAAGTGTGCACTACTTCTCATTGATAAAAGAGCAAACGACCGCTAACGACAAGCATTGTAAATAAAACAGCAGTGACAAGAGAGAGCCCAGCTTGTGATGAGATAACAACAAACAAAACCTCATGCAAGGAGTCAGGTTCTGACGGAGTGGAGCTGCCTCTGTGGGTTCCCAGGACTGTAACCCCAGGACAACAGAAAGCCCCGTGTCCTCCCCAGGGGCCACTGGGGTGTCCAACGACTGCCCTCACGCTGGCAGCCCGACACAGAACCATGAGATTCAGTTCTCGGACTGAACATGGAAATGAAGACATTTCGGGAAAGCAGTCAGCTCACCTCACAGAAGACCTGGTGGATAAGTGTGTGCCCCTTGCAGGCCGTCCAAACTCCCTAGGAAGCTGGCGGCGGGAGCATCGGGGCCTGGCGGGGCTGTCTCAGTGCAAACCACGAGGCTCATCCATTCAGCAAGAAGTGCCCAAGATACACCCAGGCACTGCCTAACGACCGAGGGCAGAGTTGGTCAGGAAAGCATCCCCCTCACGATGTGTAGACTCCCCAAATCAGACTCTCTGCCCTGGGGTCCATTCCAGGGCATGGCAACCGATGCAGGATTTCCAAGACTGCCAATCAGCGTCTCCCAAAGCAGGCACACCACCCCGAGGGGCGAGGGCAGAACATCCAAGGGGATTGGCAAAGCAGACCCCTCCGCTGTCTCTTGGACTACGGTCTCGTGTGCAAGTGGGTTTCACTGCAGCGGGGTGCCGCGGGGTGTGCTTTTTCTGAAAAGGGGGAGGAGGAAGGCCAAATAAGTTCGTGAACCTGTGCTTTAAATCTTGACGGGGCAGACAGCCTCTCCTTTCTCCCACAGAGTGGGTGGTGGGTTTGAACCTCCAATCTTCCAGTTAGCAGCCCAAGCTCTAAGCCACTGCACCACTGGGGGCTCCTCCCTTTGTGTCTCGGTCCCTGCTGTTTTAGACCTTTTTCATGGTGCACGCAGTGCGGCCGTGTACATCTCAGAC